GGGCCCAGTTCCAAAGGCAAAAGTTTGCATATGGTCACTCTTGGCTAGGTAATACTTGAATGAGCAATTTCCTGGTTTACTCTAAAAAATGTTTCCATATTTGTCCCAGGCTATTGCTGCCTAAATTTGAAGCAAATCTAGTTTCAGCAGATTTCTTCAGGGGGGAAAAAAAAAAGAGAAGGCATTTCAGATAAATGATGCTTACCTAAATGCAAGGGAGTGTTCCCCAATCCATCTCGCTGGTTTGGATCAGCACCATGGTCTAAAAGCAACTGCACTAAAACATAAAGAAGAGTTTTTCAAGTTTACTTTGAAAACCATACAGAAATATCTCAGGTATTAGCCCAGGGTCATATAGTTTTACAGAATTCATTCATTGGAGATGGATAGCAACTGGTCCTAGCCACAACCAGTCCTAGCCGCATCTCATCAAAATATACCTCTTTTCCTAAGTACTTTAATGGAACAGGTCTCCATAATAAAATGATGCTTTTATGTCCCTTGAAACAGTCAAGCTTGCATATGAAGCGCTACTGAATGGACCTCTGGGCTCCATTGTCTCAAGTTCACACAGAATTGCCAGCAAAATAAACTACCACAGCACAATGCGAGCTAATCTGCCACATTTGGGGGCTGTTCAAAAGTAAAGGGATATCTATAATGAGGGTCATTGGCTTCAAAATGATGGTCATGATCAGCGGATTAAAGCTCAACTCCCTTTTAACATGCATTGCATTACTGTATACCCATAAAAAGGGCCAAGGCTTTACTTGCCTAATAGTACCTGCCATTTTGAAACACAACCATCACTGCAGATGCCCGCCCCTGCCCCCCAAATATCGTTTGCCAATGAGAATATTAACTCTCTCAGATCCTTCTTAATCACACTGACTCCAAGAATATGCCAGCAATGTTTAAGTACATCTTATTGAATAATATCACAGATTTATCCATTGGCCTCCGGGGGCACTTTGGAAAGTATGTAAAGTTAAGTAATGGACCCTCACATCTCAAACTGCCCATCTTTGAAGCAAGAAGCCATCTTAGACTTTGCTCAACACTTGGTAACCAAAATGACCACAGTGAACTGATATTAGCTTAACTGAATCTGTCCTCTATCCAATATATAAGTCTCATTCAACCTAGAAGGAGACAGAAAAGTTTTAATTAAGGATGCTGGTGCTACCTATGTTCTTGTTCTTTTCTTATTTTTTTTCACCAAATGTTTCAAGGAACACACCCAAAGCATGTTTATAAAACCATAACACCTCCCTGAATTATTCTGGACATCAGGCAATCTCTGCAATATTGCATTTAGAATAGTGTTGCTCAACCTGGGCAAGTTTAAGAGGGATGGACTTCAACTTCCAGAATTCCCCAGCCAGCAAGCCACGTTAAACTTTGCTTTGCTGGCTGGGGAATTCTGGGAGTTGAAATCCACACATCTTAAACTTGCCCAGGTTGAGAAACACTGTTTTAGAAAGTATACTTCATAATGATATCTCCACTTCTGACTTCATTCTGTCTTGTAACAATCTATACCAGTGTTTCTCAAGCTTAGCTAATTTAAGATGCGTGGGCTTCAACTCCCAGAATTCCCCATCCAGCATAGCTGGCTGTGGAATTCTGGGAACTAAAATCTATGGATCTTAACGTTGCTAAGGTTGAGAAACACTGATCTATGTCCATTACTTCTACCCAGTTTCCTTCCACCTGCTAAGAACAGTGAACTGCCCTGCTGAAATTTATAAATGCTTTTGAAAATCATCAGCAATGATGAAGTGGCATCTAAAGTGAGAGTTCCCATTTTTTTTAATTGGCTTACCAATGCGATCATTTCCATTACAAGAAGCAAAGTGCAGGGCTGTTCGACCTTTGTCATCAGCAGCACAGGGGTCTGCCCCATCTTCCAGAAGTTGCATTACTGATGCCATCAAATAAGAAAGAAAAGGAAGCATTAATAACCTGAAGATTTAATTGGCTAAAAATCACCATCAGTATCCTAGCTTAAAATGTAATAAATTGTTGCAAAACTTTCAAAGAACAATATTTAATGCTGAAAGTTTATTTTAAAAGAAACAAATAAGATGCATGCACAAATTCATTCTGATCTTTTCAATATCCATTCTTGCCAAGCAATTCAGCATCAGTAAGTTACTTCCTTTCAAGCTCAAAGTGAAATAGCAGAAAAAAGCATCCACAAAAAAACCCTGTACATAATAATTGTTTCAATCAATGTGGACTTATATTTCTTTTAATGAAATCATTAAATGCAAATTTTAATTCATATCTGGACTACGGGTAGTTAGGACATTGCCTCTCCCAGAACTACACTTCTGTTTAAATTTTGCTTCCTTATTCAATTGAAAAAAAAAATGACAAGTTCAAATACTACACTCTTCAGATAAATTAAGTCTAAACTTCTTCTGATTTCAGCTAAAGTTTAGAAAGAAGAGAATATTTAATAAAGGATAACAAGAGATAAAGATAAAAAAAAGTTCATATTCCTACAATGTAACCTTCTAGTAAATGTACTCATCTCATAATCCTGATTGGCAATCAGGAACTGCATGCCAAGAAATTAGATATGCAGGCAAGTGAGGAGAGTGAAGGTGGAGGGTTAGCTAGCAAAGCACTGAAATCTAGCCCTCTGTATTTCTTCTAGCCAACATTTCCATAAACAAATTTCTTTGGGAAGATTATTTACAAGCCTCCACTAGTGTATTCATCTTATAATAAGACAGAATTGGTCAGGAAAGACTTAAAACTGAAACTAGAAGATAAAAGAAGATAATACCTAACATTTTGTTAATAGACCCATTTTCAGGCCTACCTGAGGTCCCTCCAAGCTGATTTTTTTTTTTAAAAAACTTACATTCCAATGGAATTTTTAGTAATCTAATACTGTATATTGAACATTCTCATCTTAAAGAATCTGTTCCTGTTTACAGCCTGTCATTTTATAAGACCCATATTTCTCCAACAGAACCTATGTAGGGGAAAATACATGGAGCTATAAATCAAATTCTGACCGATGCAATGTTACCTGTTTCCAAATCATTTGAATTAGCAGCTTCTCTCAATCTTTTTAAAGCTGTGGAAAAAGAGAGAGTTATTTCCTTCTCAGTTTAATTTTATAAAAAGCAAAACAAACACATCAGGTTTGGTTAAACAAAGGTTTTGTGACTCTTTTACTATGCACAATCGACTTACCATGTTATGTGACGTCTCACGACGTATCACAACTTTTTTTGCATTGTCGGAGCTGGGGTGGGCATGGCCTCTGTATGATGCAACTGGCCCGTGGGTCAGCAGTTTGACACCCCTGATCCACAACTTCTCCTCAAGGGTGATCTTTTACTGGCAGAATGCAATGTTTTATGTGTTTTATATCTAGGGAACTGTGATAACTCTAGCTAGTGGACTCATAATTATTCAGGTGTCATGGCTTTCTGTGGGAATGTTTTTTACCTCTTAAAATTCATTTTAGAATTGCAAACATCAGCAAAACAGACCATCTCCTTCTCTTGGCAAAAAGGGTAGGTAATATTTTCCAAGTAGGGGATCATGGGCTAGTTGGTCAAGGGAGGCGTTTTCAACAATGTTCCTGAATGGGGCAAAGCCAAATAATTTTTACTTCTCTTTTCTCATAATTTGAGGGCTTTGGTATGATTTTGACTGAAAAGATCTTTCAAGAATTAATGACCCTTTTGTATCTGGAAAGAAAGGAGCACCAGAGTCCCAGTTTGCTTCTCCTAAAAAATTTACTCTGAGAAGTGAGCAAACTTTATCCACATTTCTGCTACTATTTATCCAGAATACAAAACAGAACAGAACAAAACAAACTTCACAGGCTTCAATATATTACAAATTTTCCTAGCAGTAAATTGCAATTAATACTGTTATAACTGGATTGCTTTGATCAAATTTACTCATCACAAATATGTTAATCGTTAACATATAACATAACACAAGTTACCCTTGTGTTATGTTTTATTCGCAATTTAAACTACATGCATTCTTTTAATACAAAATCAGAATTCTGGTGACTTCAGATCTAACAGGCAAAATTATTTCAAATGTACATCACTGAGGCACACTTGTAATACATTTTTCTCTCCCCCCCCCACAATTTTAAGATCAACCACAACCCAGATCAGTGCCCTCCAGATGCATGAATGATAATTCCCTTACACAGTCCAGTATTATTTATCTATAATATTTCTAGGCAATCCAATCAAACATGCTCCGGGTGGCACACAACAAAAGAAAAACAACATAGTTAATAAGCCCTCATTAAAACAAATCATACCATCCATAATAGTACAATTAATTGTCGCAAGAGTTTTGGCTTGTTGAAATAAGCCAAAGCACCCTGCCAGGAGCAGTGTGTTCCAAAACATAGGAGCTATTATGAAAAGTTCTGTCCTTCATCCTGGCAACAGGGAAGGTTGTTGGACAAGTATGAACGCCAACTGGAATAGATCAGGTTGGGGAAGGTTGCTTTGGATTATCACGGGAACAAGTATGTGTCCATGCCTGTTTTCTTCAATATTTAGTCCCTTATCTGTATCTACAGGTAGTCCTCAACTTACGACAATTGAACCCAAAATTTATGTAGTTAAGTGGGACATTTGTTAAGTGAACTTTGCCCCATTTTACGACCTTTCTTGCCACAGTTGTTAAGTGAATCACTGCAGTTGTTAAGTTAGTAACATGGTTGTTAAGTGAATCTGGTTTCTCCATTGACTTTGCTTGTCAGAAGGTTGCAAAAGCTAATCACGTGACCCTGGGACACTGAAACCGTGGTAAATATGAACCACTTACCAATCATCTGAATTTGATCATGTGACCATGGGGATACTGCAATGGTCGTTAAGTGTGAAAAATGATCATAAGCCACTTTTTAAAATGCCTGTTACTTTGAACAATCACTAAACGAACTGTTGTAAGTCGAGGACTACATGTATTTGACAACAACTCCATTCCAACCTGCTGCTTTTGCCTTCAGAATACAGTAAAGCATGGAAGACCTCCAAATTCCTGACGAAGCCACAGACTGGAGCTCCCCAATACCCCCTCCGGCTGCTGTTTCTAGACCAGGGGTAGGCAACCTTGGCTCTTTTATGATTCGTGGACTTCAACTGCCAGAATTCCTGAGCCAGCATAGCTCAGGAATCATAGCCAGCATAGTTCATACCCCGGTCCTAGACAATTCAGCCAGGAGGTTCCTACCATCTCAGTCTCCGGTAAGGAGAGGGCGGCCGCCGGCCTTTCGGTCACGGGCTAAGAACAGAGCGCCCGCCCTCCCGCCTTAGCCCCACGGCCAGCCCCTCACCGTGAATCTCCTTGCCCAGGGGGCCCACCCTGCGGTGTAGCCGGGCGTCTCTGCGGCGGCGACTGATGATCTTGCACACGCGGTGTTCCGTCTGCCACGGCAGCTGCAAGTAGCCCAAAGCAGCCGGATCCGGAGTCTCGGGGATTGTCCGCAAGGCCACGCCAAGACTCGCCAGGGAAAACAAGTTCGCGGCATCGGCGGGGCTGGCTTGGCCGGGGCTACCGCCTTCCATCCCTCCGGCCCCCCCAAGCCTTCGCTTCAAGCGGGCCCAGAAATCCGAAGCTCGCTGACGGGAGGCGGTGAAATTCGCGTAACCATAGAAATGAAAGGAAGGGAACAAGGCAAGTAGCAGCCAATAGGAGTAGTCGGATGCCGTAAGCGACAGACTAAGAATGACGGGAAGGGAGTCTACTCCCTCCGCCCGAAAAACTTAAAGGTGAGAATCCGGTCTACAGCCAAGTACAGAGTAGATGCCTTTGGGCGCAAGACCGGAAAAGTTGAGGGCCACAGTCGAGGATTATTACTGGCTGAAGATGATGTCCAGTCCAACACATCTTTTGGGGAGGGGGTATAAGCATTATACACTGGAATAAAACGCTCTTTCAAATGCGCATCTTTGCATAAGCAAAACATACATAAGAGGTATCTGAACGTGAAAAGGGAGAAGGGCAAATGAACATCCCAAGCAGCAAAAAAGAATGGTGCTACTCCTTCAGGGGAAGGAAGTGAAAGCACAGCTTGCAAATGGTGGGGGGGGGGGAGCTTTAACTACCATACCATCCTGAACAAAAGTGCAGAATGCATACCAACATTTCATCAGAAACCCCATTTATACACAGGATATTATAGTACTTGAGCAACTCGGAGAAATGTAATAAAGTTATTCAATGCAGCAAAAATAGAAAGCATTTCAGAGGGGAAGATACTGTAATTACTTGACCCCCAAAATAAAACAACAGCAAAGTTGTTTTATTGTCACGGTTACAAACTACACAAACCTATTTACCGAGGTTTAAACCTCAGTGTTGAGAGAATGTATTATTTCCAGACATTAGATTGTAATGTCTATCCCTTGTTCGAACTAAAATAAAAGTCTTAGATAGGTTCAAGGATATGTTGTTATAAATGTAGTATTAAGCATTGACAAGTAAATCCCATTCAGTAGGTTTAACTTTTGGTGTCATGTTTTTTTTCCTCTCTAGCTTTACTTATGTTTTTTTTTTCCTATTGAAATTGTACAGGAACATTCTCAGGAAACAAATATTCTGTAATCCTTTTGCTCCCCTTTGGAGGCAGAGAATTTTTATAAAAATAGCAGTACAGAAATATCTCAACTGTGGCTAAATTTTTGTTTATACTTATTTTCACCATTCTTGCTTAGTAATTATGGATTCATTTGAGTTGCAATTGTGATTCAGAAATTTGTTTTATTATCTAGTGCAGAGGTCTTCAAACTTGGCCCTTTTATGACTTGTGGACTTCAACTCCCAGAATTCCTCAACCAGGCAATGTTCTTCTGTGGTGGTTATTAGTGAGGCATTCAAATCTTTGCTCTATACATTTGTCAAATCCCATCAATTCTGATCACTAAAAATCAATGGAAATTTGTGACATTTTCACCCTGCTTGCGATATTGCAACTAAATGATCAATGTTGAAGATCAGATAATGCTTTGAGTCTTTTGATTTGATCTAACACATATCTGTTATTCAATAGATTTATAACCCGCATTTCTTTCATAACAGAATTGACAGTGTACCAAATACGGGTTTACTAAGCATGATTGCCGTTAGGCCTATAACATACACACACTAAATATAACACATTTACTTATTCATCTTAGCAGTAGATTAAGGCGGTCTCTCTCATCCCTACAGTAATTGCAACAGTCGGCCAAAACGGACTATTTATACTGGCGACTTCCGGTTTATGGGGAAGTTCCACAAATTTGGTGGCCGGAAGACTTTCTTTGCTGCAACGTTCTGAGCCTGGTCGGCTGGCGGTGTGCGGTTTCTTTTTTTTCGTGCTGTAAAGCCCGCCATGTCGTATCCGATGGACGATTACGAAGAGGTACAAGCTTTGCGTATCTATTCACTGAGAACTTGATTGGCGTGTGGGAATTGGGACCTTCATGGATGGTTTGCTTGGCGTTTTCGGATAAAAGCGATGGGCGGGTTGCTTCCATTTAGTGGAGGGGTTGTTAGGCTGATCTGTCACTAAAAGCAAAGCCGAGAAGAGGCGTCTGTTTTCCAAAGCCGTGGTATTCACATTTGAGGGGGGCAACGATTAAGCAGGTTGCATCGTATTGTCTGTACCAGATTCAAGCCCTCCCTTCCCACGCTCTCTTTTCGCAGGGCTCTTACGATCCATATACTTATCCAGGGGATTATGATTTACACACAGGTGAGTCCGTATACTTTCATGTTGATAGACGTGCTACTTCGAGTTTATATTCCTGGAGGCAAAGAATACTATCTTAGATGTTTGTTGTGCTATATAAATGATGGTAGTACCGTTCAGAAGTGCTTTGAGTCTAGCCCACTTTTTATTCAATTTTTACAAAAAATGGATAATTATATGCTTTATGAAACTTTTGATATTTGTCTCTTATTGAAAGAAAGTACTTTGACCTATATTCATTTTAGCAACTTTAATTTTTCTTTGTTTCTTTGCAAATTGCTTTAATTTATAGTCATAGGCTAAAATGTGAAAAAAAATGAGTGGAAACTAGATGCTAAAAAAAATGGCTACACAAAATAACTCCTAGACATTTCCATTCTTGTACTTTCCATTCTTGTAATCCATTGTAGGTGTTGTATTCAGATTGGCTTGCTTAAGAATAATGGGATTTAATTTAATACATTTTTAAAGTTGTCAGGATTGAATTGGGAAGATCCAGATTCAACTGTCCACTCAGTTATGGAATTCAATTGGGTGATTATAGAGCAGTCACTCTCTCCCAAAACAAATTACTTCCTAGGGTAGTTTAGGAATATAATGAAATAGCCATCCATATGTGTTCTGAAGCTGCCAATTGAAAAGCAAATTTTAATTAAGAAAAATTACCGAATTAATGACTTGGATATCAAGAATACTATAACTTAAAGTCGCATAGTGACTCTGGGTAATATTTGTAATAGAACAAAATACATAAATACTATTAAAAAGCACAACTTAAATTAGAATAAAGACAATATAAAAGCAAGATTAAAAAAACAAGAAATAAGACAGAACAAGAAATAAGACAGCAAAGCATACAAAGAGTGCATCTAGTTAACTCACATTTAATAGAGTCCCCAAATTCATGGGATCCCCAAGCTCGTTGGCAAAAATCATTTTTGAGGGCCTTCTAGAATGCCTACTTTTGTTCCATTTGCTTTTTCCCCATGCCCTTTGTTGTCTTATTTAGTAATATTCATGTTGGCCTCCACAGCAAACCCTAATGTTGCCAAAGTGTTGAATGGGTTATGATGGCCTATGAGCTTCTGTGAGGGAAATGGGCACTTTCTAAATTAGACAGATTTCATCACGCAAAAGCTGCTATTATATATTTTCGTCATGATATATTGTTGCAAGTATGAAAGTAATGGTATTTGCATGGATGACATTATCACCAGTATGTTATCATTCCTCTTCTCATTCCCCCTTGCTGGCATCTGCCCATGTTCACATTTGAAGAACTTTATTAAAAATGAGGATTCTAAAACAGAGATGTATGCATTTAAATGTTAGGTTCAAAATGTTGCTATTTTATGTCTTCCTGATATTTTGTTTTGATGTAGTTATTTCTTGTATTTCATAGGAGATCCAAAACAGGATTTAGCCTATGAACGGCAATATGAACAGCAAACCTATCAGGTGATTCCAGAAGTGATAAAAAATTTTATCCAGTACTTTCATAAGACTGTTTCAGATCTGATTGACCAGAAAGTGTATGAGCTTCAAGCCAGTCGCATATCTAGTGATGTCATTGATCAGAAGGTATATGAGATCCAAGACATCTATGAAAACAGGTATGATTTCATTTGCTTCAGAAAAGAGTGAGAATTTTCAGTATGGCTAGTTTTTATTAGGGTTCAATAACATTAAAAGAGATAAATATTAATGACTAACTGATACATCACTATATATTTGTGAATATATAATGGGAAATAAAGATTATGTAGGTAGTTCTGCCCACATGATGGCATATGACATTGAAGAATCTTGTTCTTTAGTATCTTTTTTACCACTTTTCTCATAGAAATCTTTACACACGTAAGATTGGTAAAAAGTGAGAGGGGATCATATAAATTGTGGGTTAATTATACTCGGTATTGCCATGATTTTCTAAATACTATACTGATGTGTATTGCAGTTGGACTAAATTAACCGAAAGGTTCTTTAAAAACACTCCCTGGCCAGAAGCAGAGGCTATTGCACCACAGGTTGGAAATGGTAAGAATTTTTAATAGAAAATTTTATTCTGATGTTTGTCCTGCATTGGAAGAGTAATTTTTTTATTAGGGGGGGGAGGGAGAAACCAGTACATATTGAAGAAGACAGGTTGAGAATTGCATTGAACTCTCTTAACTCCAAATGATCTTTTAACAGGATTTGTCACATGCAATCTGATTTGATCCACATTTCTAACATTTATATGATAAACTTAAAAATGACTTTATTCTTTTTTATTGTAAAAAATCTAGCTTGTTTTTTTGCATGGAAATTGCGAGACTCATGCCAAATTTAAGAGGTATAAAAATATTGTTCTTGATCTTTGTGTCCTACCCTACTGTATTAAGTTGTTGATATCATAATTTCAACAAATTAGAGGGCCTCTATTGCCAGAAGAAATCTCCTGTCTTAGCTATTTTCCTGTTTTTTGCATCACTCTTTATCCTTGAATCAATTTTTAACAATGCCACTCAATGCTTGAAGATTTTATAGTACACTACTATAAATTTTAATATACAACAAGAATAGTTTTTCTCCCTTTATTAAAAAATGAATATTTTATTATAGTTTTTATTATAGTTATGGATCTTAATGGTAGTATAGGATTAAAAACACTTTGTGGTGCTTTTGTGAAATGCACCAATTCTGAGATATCTCAGATGCTCATTAGCAAGGCAGATTATATTCAGATGAAAATGTAGCATATTCCAGCATATATTCATTAACTTTCAGATAGCATATGAAATTTTATTTGCCAGAGCATGGTGCCGTTGATATGTTTTTGCAGCATATTTTGTGACTTTTATTTATTATAGGAAATTTTTGAATTTCTGATATATTGTATTATATTCACTTGTGTCAGATACTTGAAGACTGACTGAATGGAAAACTCAAAGGCAAATACTTCAAA